TTTCCGACTCATTTGAAGCCCTCATCGCAGCGGCTGCGAGGGGGAACAGCTCCTTGCCGGGGGCTCGTTCGCACCATGGCCCACATGGAGCCCAGCAGTGCTTGCTGTGCAAGGCTCTCTATGGAGCCAGGCACAGATAAACAGCTTACACCTCCGTACTGCTTTGTCTAGGAGCATATTATCCCTTTATTGTGTAAGATGCACTGGGTTGTTAGCAGCACATTTTATCTCACAAAGGTATTAAGTGTTGAGAACACTTAATTAAAGTGAGGACAAAAGCACCCTTATGGTCTGGAGCTGACGTGGACCGGCATGTCCCACCGCACAGGGGCTTTTCCGAGGCTGCAGAAATACTGTCTGCCGGGAAGCGGCTGGTGGCTGCGGGGACGCGTGGGATGATCCTCAGGAACAGCTCCTAGGGTTGAGCACTAAAGGAGATAAAAATCTCCCAACGCTTTTCTGGAGCCTCACTGGAAACTTGAAAAATTACCCCGATACAGTCATTTGTGTGTGACAGCCTGAGTGCAAGTGTTAGTGGGGATTTGCCTGGAATAAGCTGATTTTCCAGCACGGCTCTTTTGAGGTCAGCAGCAGCTTCACGTGCTGCAGTCCGCAGAGTCTCGGGCTCCTTCTCCTTTGCATTAGCTCTGGGCTCTTGCGTAACAGCGCTGGCTGATAACCGGGCATCCAATAACCTGTTGCTCAATGCTTTTCCCTGTTACACAAATCTTCATTTGTATTGGAATATATTAAAACCACAAATGATGCTTTATACACTCGATCCACTATCCCAGCTTTTACAATTTAGGCATCTTTCCACTTTTTCCACATCAGCTTCACTATATAAGGACCCACTGTTCCTACATGTTAAAGCAGAGGTGCCTTTGGGCAGCTGTAAGGTCTTCCCTTGACCAAGAGCCGAGCACTGAAGACCAAAGCCAGGCTTCGAAATTCGGGATAACCAGGTAAATACGGTCAAAATAGTGGTGCGGGGTGTTGTAAGCTTGGGGGGGACAGAGCCACCATTTCACCTACGGGCCTTACAATATACTCTGGTGAGCAAGAAAAAAAACATGGGAAAAATACCAATAATGGTAGAAATGCAAGTAAGTAATTCTAGTTTATATTTACTTAGTAGCCTGAAAAAATCAGAAAAGAAGGTTGCTATAGTAAAATGAAAACACTTCTCACACTTCTGTGAGGAAAAAAACATTCATTTGACACAAAACTTAGGGATTTTTTGAGTTGCAATGTCCTCTTAAGGTTATTATTATTTTTATTGTTATAAGGTTAAAACATGCCATTTTAAAAAGAAAGGCTTTATTCCAAATGTGAGTTGCTTGTATAATTGCAGCATTAATTTGCATGCCCACTCACGGGGCAGTTGTTAGCGACGGGAGCTCGGTGCAGTCTATAGGTTATGAGTAATGATTTCATTCTGTAAGTTTAAAACTATGTCACGGCGACCGGGGATGGAAAGGAGCAGGTTGCCCGGGGTGCCCATAAATAGGAATAAGCAAACAGGTGCTGGGGTTGTGCAGAAGCTGGCTGGAAAAAGTCCCTGCAGATGTGCGTACGGACACCCTCCCTCTTCACCCCCTTTTGTGTGTGTCCAGATCTATTTGCCAAATGTGGCTCTAACTCCTGAAGAGTTTTGGTCCTCCTAAAGCTCACGTTTTCTATTAACTGAAAAATTTTCACACAGCTTGAAATATCCAACTCCATTTTGTCTCCAGGGGGTCACCCAGCCTATTCTCACTCTTTTCCCATTGTCCTTCCCCAGGTCCTGCCAGCACCCACAGCGCTCCCAGCCAAGCAGAAGACACCATGCCACCGGCTCTGGGCATTGCCCTCTTGTATGCCCTGCTGACCCCATCACTAAGCGAGCAAAAAGATGCCGTCCTCAGGCTCAGTAAAGATGTTTTAAGTGATGGTGAGTCACTCTGCCTCCTCTCAGTGGGACCCTGGGAAACAGGAACCAACCGTGGTCCTTGAGGGTTGATGCCGTGGTACCAGCACAGCCAGATCAGCCAGGGAAAGGAGGGGAATTGCTCATGGAAGGGGAAGAGCATGAGGCTTGTGTGCAAACCTCCCCCTCCAAACTGACCCTGGAGTCATTTTTTTGTAATTAAAATTTCAACTGGCCAGGCTCCTAAAAGGAGAGAGACATTGCTCGTGTTGGGGATTGCTCCTCCTGGGAGCCCGCACCTCTCAGGAGGTGTGAGCCACCGCTCAGGAGGTACAAGCCACATGGCACCTCAACTATCTCACATTTAGGCTTTATCAGTGCCCAACCCCTGCGACTGTGCCACACCGTTTGCCGTCTTACTGGTGCAGCTGCAGACAAATTCCCCTGAGCTTCTTTACGGAGGTCTTAACATGGTGCCTCCTGTCCTGGATCCCAAAGCCCTTTTTCTGTTGCATCATATATGGGAAAAACTGACAGCAGATAGTTAGGGACTGGGATAGGCAGCGATGGTAATGGAGAGCACAAACCCCTCAACAACCCATGCTTGAGGAGCACAATGAGTAATGGTGTGGGCAGGAGGCTGGCAGCTGCCTGCCGGTCCCTGCACGAAGGCTGCAGCGCTGGCCGGGGAGGCAGCTCTGCCTCGCAGGCTGATGGCGGGCGATGTTTCCAGCTCTTACAGGCTCGCTCAGGCAAGGCAACACCCTCCAAGGTGCCCTCGGAGAGGTGCCGCTCGGCAGCGGACGTCCCGGCACAGATGAGAGTGGAGACCTGTTGCGTGGCCTCGGAGGAGGTCTCCTTGGTGGTGGTGGTGGTCTGCTTGGTGGTATTACTGGTGGTTTGCTGGGTGGCGGAGGGCTGCTGGGGGGGCTGACTGGGGGTCAGCTTGGTGGGGGCGATGCT